GCGATTTTTTTTTATTATTATTATTCCGCCGCCGCCGCCCGCGGCACCTCCCGCGGTTCGGGTGAGCAGGCATGGACGCACAGGGCACACAGTACTTGCATCGCGCACACACAGCCCCGGCTCCCTGCGCTTAAAAAAAAAAAAAAAAATGCCTGGAGTGTGAACCCTTGGCTTTTAAATCCCAGGTTGGGGAGCCCGGGTTCTGTAGGCAAAGAGATTTTGAGGCCATGGGCTCCGCGGTGACAACGGGACAGCTCTAGCCTAGAGCAGCCTAGAGAGAATGCTGGTTTGGGCTGAGGGCAGTCCTGTTCGGCTCAGAGGGTAAAAGCGCTCACTCGGCCCTAGAGAACCGCCGCCAGAAAGCCAGCGGGAGGAGGCTTTCTCAGGGGCAGGAGCACTCATCCAAAGCTTCGTTGGCTATGGTCTCTTTTAATGGGAACCTCCAGGGAGTTCTTTTATGCAGGGAAGTGTGGAAGCGCCTGTCACCCCTTCCAAGAGACTTGGCTGCCCTCCCAGATTTCTTCCTTCACTCACCCTACCTTCTAATCGACTCCCCCAAATAAGCCAAACATTAAGCTGTCCCAAACTCTAGTATAGACCACTGACACTCATCTGGGACAGGGAAGGGGAGGGTGTGGGGCGAGCATCGGTTCTAGCAGCTGGAGCCAGAGAAGGGCAAAAGTGGTCACTATTGTTTCAAACGAAGTGAACTTGAGAGCGTCCTGTTTTTCCCTCGAGTTTTGTCCTCAGCCTTTATTATTTTTGAGGTTCTAAGTTAGGCCTGAGGAACAAGATCTGATTTGCCATTACGTTTGGGTTATTGCATATCTGGAAAAGTAAACAGGAGTGTTCAAGTCACTTGATTTGTTTTCTGTAAGCAAATAATACCCAAAAGCATGGCTGTAATTTACCACGAATTAAAATTGATTCTTTTCATCAGGCAAGAAAATAGGAAAATGTGAGATCGTTAATTATTGAGGGAGGCGCTGCTCATTAAAGGGAACAATGTTACAATTCAGCATTTAATAGCAGGATTGTGAATAACTGCACGCCATATTTCAGCCCACTGTCTGCAAAGAAAAGAGAGCAGTTTACAAACAAGCCAAGCAGCCCAAAGTTACATTTAATAAACACCCAAGCTTTCCATAAGTGGAAAAAGCAATTAGGGTGCTGGGCACAATACCCAGCTCTTCAAAGAGCACCTGGTATATATTTTTATTCTGTCTGTCTCTCTGACGCTACAAAGGATTCACAATAAATGCAGATATACAATTAGAGGGGAAATCGAGAAGTTCACATCTAAATCAGCATATATCCAACATTGGAACACTCACTATCCGGGTATCCCGCCTGATCCCACCTACCCATCCAGTCACACCATATTTCTAAATCTCTGTACTAGGATGGCAAAGCAGGAGAAAAAGAAAACACCGGTTTTGTAGTTTCTGTTTTTGTAGTTTACATAATTAGCCATCAAGGGCTTATATATTTAAATCTATACCTCTCAGAAAGCCGACTTCTCAAAATACTACAAACTTCTCTGGCTTGGTCTGGTTGCGGGTTCCTTGGCCTTTGTGCTTCGTTAAAAAGGAGAAGGGGAGGAAGAAGAAAGAAAAAAATGATTTCCCTGTGCATCGCCCCTTGGCAGGCTCTTGTACAAAATTCAATCTCTATTTTTTATGAGAATAAACTGTCTAAATAAATTTTATTAGGGGCAACCAATATATTTTCTGGTAGTTCCCTTTGTTCCACTTCTACGTGTGTGTAACAATCTAAAACCTATTTATTGAGGAAAAATCACTGGATCCGTCATAGAAAATCCTTTTACTTTGCTTTGAAGTGATTTCTGAAGACATTATTGTCATTCCGAAGATTTGGGGGTCATTGCGCTAAAACCTCGCCTTGTTAGGGACTTCAGTTCCCATGATCATGTGGGAAATGCCTTAAATTATCAATAGCAATGGGCCTGACCGGCACTTTCCCGGCTGCCCTAGGAACGTGGGAAGATGACAGGGAATAAAACTCTAGTAAATACATCTCAGGCCCTGCCCAGGTGGATTCAGACATTGGCCAAAACGAGCTGCAGAGAGGGAACTGGGCGCCGGGGCGAGCATTTTATATCCAGACTATTGTCGTTTTCCTTGCCACGCCTGCTGGCAGCAGGCTCCTGAATCCCGGCTCTGGCTCCAGCTCCAGCTTTCATGCTCCCCACCTCAACGCCCCCACACTTCCTTCCTTCCCCCCTCCCACTCTCAGATTTCCTCCTCCCCCCTTTCCTTTATCTCTCCTCCCTCCCCCACCCATGCTTATGTTCTGAAGTCTTGGAAGAAATGATTTAGTTTGTTTATACTGCTATAAAAATCAAGACCAATAGAAAAGTCATAAAATGAAGCGGGCTATCAATCACGCCGCAACATTGTTATTCAGCGGTTACTAACAGAGATGGATAATCCTTTGATTTCGTCCCATTGTTATTACTCTGATGTGTCTTCACATTAACTATTACACATTTATTTATCGACCTGAAAAAATACAACAAAACAGAATATACGAGCTGTGCGTGTGGGAGAATGCTGCAAAGCCAGTGGTTCTGGGGGCGGCTGTGGAATGAGGACATAAGCGCTTGTTGCACACTGGTGTGGACTGCCCGCCCCCCCCTTTTCCTTCTCTTCCCTGGTCTTGGCCTCTCCTCCCTCCCTCCAGGCAGGGTTCGGAGTATCCGCAGTGCGGGCCTGCTCAGACTTGCCTGTTTGGAGACGCCAAGCCCGGTGCCTCTCTCAGGGCCCCTGTCTCTTCCTCTGACAGGTCTCTGCACCTCAGCCCCTGAGTTCCGGTCTCAGATACCCCGCAAGCCCCACCCAAGTGGGCACAAACCCCCAAGAGTCCTCGGAAACATCCAGCCAGGTGCGCACTCGAAAGCCAAGTCCAGGGCGCACACAGCCCTGCCTAGGACATCTATCTTGCTTCCTGCCGCGTGTGCCCAGCAAAGTAGCATCTAGACTTGGGGTTTTGTTTGGGGAAGGGGAAGGTTTTATTGCAGGACTCTATTTGCTTTAGGTCCAGATATTTTCCTTTCAAGCAAGAACATCCTCGCGGCTTCCAAACACACCGCCGAGGCCGGGACTCCGCCAAGCTGGAGCCCGCAGTTCCAGGGCTCCGGTCCCGCAGAGGCCGCCTTGGCAGCAGCTGCAGCGGCTGCTGAAGCTTGGCCAGGCCCAGAGCTTCGGGGGAAACGGTCTTCTCAGCTCAGAAGGAACCGATGTGTGACTGATGCCTGGCACTCACACGTGTGCATGTGTGTGTGCACGTGTGCGCGCGCCCACGTGTGTTGTGCACGAGAGGAAGGGAACGGGCTTCAGGAGAGAAGGAGTTCCATTGCCGCCCCAGAGTTCGCATTGCCGCCTCCTTTGTCTCCTTGCTCGGTCCCTGTCACACACACAGTTGGGGTGGGGGTGGGGGGGCGGGAGCGCGGGGTCGCGCGCGCGCGCACACACACACACACACACACACACACACACACACACTGTTTCGCATCTGCTCTCAGGCAGTATTTCCAATGTTTTGTGTAAGTCAATTGGACAGCGAACAAAAAAAGCCATTTGCTCGGCATTATTTAAAGCAGACTTCATAGGGCCACCCTTTTGTGGAAGCTTTATTTGCACTAAATGAATAATCTTAATTGCATCACTCTCGAATTAAAAATCAATGTTAATCAAGTTGAGAGTAGTAAATATCAGTTTTCATTGTGCCTGGGTAGAGGGCATTTTTCTTGGGTTGCAAATAAAAATACAAGTCAAATAACTTTAAAAGGGCTTTATGTTCTGCTACAAATACAATTGAAACGGATTGTTTAGGCGCAGATCAGAAATGGTACAGAATTTTGCACTTAATTTCCTCAGTTATCATTTACAATAAGAGCCTCTTGGCTTGACAGCCAAGTCTAAACAGTAGTAAATTAGTACAAATTTATACTGATTTTACTCTAATAATCGTAATAAAAGCTTATAGATTTGGCACTAATTACATAAATGCCTAATGATCTTGAAAATTACTCTGGTTAGAAATATATTACTAATCTAAACTTTGTTGTTGGCTGGCTCTGAAAAATCAGAACATTAGAAATGGTTCGCTTCACTTGTGCAAAGCACTTTAAATTGTTCAAGTAGTTTAACATATTCAAGAGGAAAATAAAGAGCATTTAACTTTATTTACAGCCTTAAGTGGAGTTGAGAGCGGAGCAGAACTTAGAAACTTTGACCAAAAGGAGAGGGTTGTGAGGAAGGATGCGAACGTGCGCCAGGCGGAGGAGAGAGAGCGGGGAGGGAAGGGGGTAGAGTTCATGAATGACACGGCGTGCGGGCGCAGGAAGCTCCGAGGAATTGACTCAGTTTTTGCGCTCTGGGTCTGCCTAGGGCCTGGGAGCCGGTAGGCTCGGGTCCTAGTCGGGGCGTCTGGACCCTAGGCCCAGGCCTGCTGAGTGGCAGCGAAGTGTACGCGCGGTCTGGAGGCCGCGGTGTGCCCTGGTGCTCTGGATTGGCAGGCCCGCGTGGCCCAAGGCTCGGAGGTGTCTCGTGGACAAGCACGCAGGCGGAAAAAACTCTCGGGTCACGCGGGGGTCATGCCCTGCGCTGTCCAGAGCCTGGCCTCAGCCCCAGGAAGATTCTGGCTCTAGGTGACAGAGCTGCGCCTTTGGAGAGAGCAGGGCGGAACTAGGAGAAGGAATGGAGTGCGTGGGGAAAATCGCTGGGAAACACTGACGGAGGTTGGGCCCGGAAGCCCAGGGCGAGGCCGGGACGGCCGCATCTGCTTTAGCTGCTGCTCGGGGCTGGAGCCTTCGGGCTGCCGCCGCCGTCGCCTCCTCCGGGCGGGCGCGGGCGGGCGGGCGGGCGGAGTGGGGGACTCTCCGGGCGCTGACATTTGCAGGCTGCCCTCCTGATTGGTCCCCTCGCCGAGCTGCTCACGGGTTCATTCAACTGTTAAGCACCTCCCCGTCTCTCTAAAGGACATTATAATGCAAGAAGCCCCCTTTTTAACCACAAACCGAATTTTCTTTCATTTAGGTGATCTATATATATCTATATAGTATAGCTTATAGCTTATATCTATTTTAAATAACTTAAAGGCGCTAAAATTTTGGGGGGAACAGCTTTCGCCCTGGAGCGGTGCGCGATGCTCTCTCACGCCGACCTCCTGGACGCCAGACTAGGTGAGTGCGCACCTCTCGCCCGGGCAGCCAGGAGAAGACGGGGCAGGAAATTGTCAATTTGTTTCTTATTTTACCTTAATGCGCCCTAAATGGACTAATTTCTTTAAAAGTAATTGTGCTGCATTAAAGTTTAATTTGATTTAACATCATCTTTTAAAAAAATCTATGTAATATGTAGATCCGGGAAAAGGAGTTGGGAAATGTTACTTTTTGTTTTTGTTATTTTTTTCTCCTCCCCTCGCTCCCTTATTACTATTATTATTTTTGGAAAGGCGATCCACCCCATCGTAATTTCTTTGGAGGTGTTTTTCTTTCTTTCCCGTCCTGTCTGCTTTGATTTGGTATATCTTTTTTCTCTTTTTTATCTCCTTCCTCTCCCCCCACTACCATTTTCTCTTCTCCTCATCCAAGTGTGATTGAATTTGTAAAAATCTGGACGAAGGAGCAGCCACTGCAATTGAAGCGGAATTGCTAAGTGTGCTCATTGAGAAGAGAGAAAAGCCAAATTCACTCGCAGGCGCGTGGCCTGCAAAACGTTTTCCTCGGCATTGCCGGTGGCCGAGAGGGACGCGCCTTTATTTCTCCGGGAAGAGAAGTTGAATTCCCTAAAGTTTGATTCACTGCGAGGTCTACTGAATTTACTTGAGTTTCTTTAATGCTGTCTGGGTTTCCGGTTTGGGAATCTTTGGTGATGGATGTGACTCCATTTTCCAAACACTTTCTCTGATTTGAGCGGGAGGCGGAGCTGATTTGGGTTGATTTCAGGGGGTGGAAGGCTTTGAGACTTATTCATCTTCCGCAAGTGAGAGGGCATCGGCTTGGGGCCGGAGGTAGATTTGGTCCAGCCGCCTAAGCACATGCAGGTGGGGCAGCAACCTCGGAACGGCTTAATTTTCTTTTCCTTTCTTTTTTCCTCACGGATATGGTCTCGGGTTCCTGGGCGCCAGGGGTTCGGTTCAGGAAAGGGACGCCGAGGCGTGTTTCATTGCCGGGACTGGGAGAGCGGAGAGCACGTGCTGCCTTCGGGAGCGGATGCGGAAAGAGGGGAAAGGGCCGGGGGCTGGGATCGCAGCTGGCAGCCCCAATCCTGGGGAGCTCAGCCGAGCGTCTTAGGAGTTTCCTTCGTAGGACGACCGTGGGAGCGGAGGGAAGCGAGGATGGGGCTGCAGGAGGCTCACGCGGGGGAAAGTCCTTCCTGGCACCGCTAGGAAGGTAGTGACCGCGATCTCCTTGCCTCCTCAGGTATGAAAGATGCCGCCGAGCTTCTGGGCCACCGGGAGGCGGTGAAGTGTAGGTTGGGCGTGGGGGGCTCCGACCCCGGGGGCCATCCGGGGGACTTAGCGCCCAACACCGACCCAGTCGAGGGAGCCACTCTCCTGCCTGGGGAGGACATCACCACCGTGGGCTCCACGCCGGCCTCGCTGGCGGTGAGCGCAAAGGACCCGGACAAGCAGCCGGGGGCCCAAGGCGGCCCGAACCCCAGCCAAGCCGGCCAGCAGCAGGGCCAACAGAAGCAGAAGCGCCACCGGACGCGCTTCACCCCGGCGCAGCTCAACGAGTTGGAGAGAAGCTTCGCTAAGACGCACTACCCCGACATCTTCATGCGCGAGGAGCTGGCGCTGCGTATCGGGCTGACCGAGTCCCGAGTGCAGGTACTGCGGGCGCGGGCGCTGGGACGCGAGACCAAGAGCGGGCGGGAGGATTTGGGCAAAGGCAGTGGGGTCTTTCCTTCCCCTGCCGGGATCCTGGGCTTCTCTTCAGAAGCCTATGCATTCCTGGGTCGAGTTAGCTCCTCGGCCCGGAAACTGGCCCCGATCGCCATCTTCCAATGGACAGGCAGGGCCTCAATCTCCCACCAGTATAACCACATCCCAGCAGAAACTCATCATAAGCGAAGCTGGCATTGTTCGACTGAGCCGCCTTCTTCCTCCCGAGAAGGGAACCTCCGCGTCTCCCACCCCCCGCGACTCCAGGAGGCTAAGCCGAGCGCGCACTTCCACTCCAGCTTGCGTTATTGACAAGTGTTTCATTACCCTCTAATGAGTTTGTATTAAGCATCTAGATAAATGGGGGAATGCAACAATTATACAGAAACATGAAAAGGGAAAAAGTAAGGTGTGGCGGCACCTTTTAAAAAAGATCCACACCTGCGTTTCACGGTGCTTTATTCTGCTGAATATCATCTTCCCGCGCTCTCGGGCAAAAATACCCCAAGTTTTGATGTTTTCAAAGAATCTGAACTTTAATGGTGCAACCAGTGCTCTAAGGGCGGCTGCAGCGATCCCCCACAGCTTCTAATACTTGGCTTACTCCTAAGAAAATGGGAAAAATTAAGGCTTTCTGTTTTGGATATCCGATCTGAAGACAGGATGTTTAGGGTGGGAAATATTGAACAGTTAGTAGACAAAATCATTACTGATCCCTGTTCTTGTCCAACTATCCTCCAAGTTGTAAATTATATATAACAGAAAACACACCTTCAACTTTTCTGTAAATTGGTAAATAAAAGCATAAGTCTAATGAGTCTCATTTCCTCCACTTTTTAAAAGAATGAAAAGCAATGTATCAAATATTTTATGGGCAAGTGCTGGAGGCGAAATTTCAAGACACACACTATACTAGTATAATCATGAGCTATCCAGGGTGCTGAAAATCTTCCCTTCCTGTCTTGGATTTGGTAGTTTCTGTCCGCTAATCCTGGGCGTCAACCTCAGCTCTAGATTCTTTTATAAATTAAGTTTAAATATCTCAGATACTTTATATTTGATCTAAGAAGAGACCAAGGTGTCCATAATTACAGAGATGAATATTTCTGCCTCCATTGGGCATTTTAAAGATAGTCTAACCTAGAAAAATAGTGTGTGCTCCTGTTCTAAATAGTCAGCAAATGAGTGTCATTGGGTACTTAAAGTGGTCAAATTAAAAAAGCAATATTCAGGTATAACATAGATTAATATTTTTACTCAACATAAGACTGGTTGGTTTCCTTAGTGAAAGCTGGAAGCCCTGAATCATGGGCCTTTGATATTAAGCACCAAAAGAATGTTAATTGCATTGTGCGGATAAATATTACTAAGGCTCTTTAATTTTTTTTACCTTGCACCTCCTTTTAAATATGAAGTTGAGCCCAAACTTTAAAAATCACATACCATTTCGACACTTCTATTACTGCTAATGATAACACCAGCTTGTTAGAATCTTGTAGATTCAAAATTCATAATTTACTTTTTGTCTCTCAAGAGAAAACCTATCTAATAATTTTTGCTTTAAAGAGTAAAATGCTATTGCTTAACCTAGACATACTGATAATTAGTTTAAATTAAAATAGAACTTAGAATCACAAATAAAATATAATTGGACAACTGACTTTATGAAAAAAGAAAACGAGGTCTATTAAACTTTATTAGATCTTCCAAAGGTTAATGGCAGTGAATCTTTTAATAGAAAAAGTTGTAAATGAAATAAAATACAAACTATATAAAAGGAACAGTTTCAAAAAGTACACAAAAGAATAATCAAGAAGAAAGAGACAAAGTACTTTAATTGTTCTAGCATAATGCTCAGCAAAGATAATAGCTTGAGGCTGCTGATAGGAACAATTTAATAGAATGGCAATTTCAATATTTTTAAAAATAATGTTCCATAGTTTAAAAAGTAATCAGATCAACATAACCTTTTTAATTAACATTTCAAAATGATTAACATTATGTAATGTAATGCAAAAATAATTTATGGAAAATGTATTTACTTCACAATTCACTCTACCATTGCTCCTTGACCAAATTTAAATTAAATAGTAATTGGTTTATGTTCTTATATGATGAGTACTTCATAGTTTTCTTTATAGTTAACAGATTGCCACACATTCTTTTCAGTACGCGGGCCACTGCACTGATTAAAAATGATGGAAACATTTCATTTATTGCAATTGTATGTTTTTAAGGATGCTTTCTGGTTGCAGACTAAATGTCCCAACATACTTATTTTTTTTAACCCATATCTGGTATATATAATACTTTTAAGTATTAATGCACCTCTCCTCACATAGAGGCCAATTCCATGTCTGGTATTGCTCCCCTTTTCTGGCTAGTATAATAAAACCATTCCTTTTATAGCATGCCATTATTAGAAACCAATTTCAGAATTATTTATAACCTGGAATGGCTTATTAAGCAGCAATGCGAGAATCATGCAAATTACGCGATCAAATGCAATATAATAAGCATAATCATTAGTCTCTAGCACGGATTAATTAACTTTCAATATTTTATTTACATAAAAACCAAATCAGTGAAATAACTTCTGCACAGTCAGGCTTGCCTTTCAATATTTTATAGGAACAAAAATAATGTGCTGTAATTCCATTGACCGTGTCTCCCAGAATGGCCCTGTCACCTGCCACATCTTAATAGGGGGACAAGCTAAGAGTATTTTCTAGTTTTCTAATGGAATGAGAAATTGCATTTTCTTCCTCTCCCAGCACTATTAAAGTGTAATGAATTCGGCCCAGAGTTCACGGCTGGCTGATCGAAATGAACCTGAGATCTAGGCTTTAATACAGCTCCCCAGATTTCCTCCCAAATCTTCACATTAATCATTTGCTGGATTCCAATGAGATCTTCATAAAGCATTTGCTTGGAAGGGGGAAAAAGTAATATTCTCTTCTTCTCCCTCTCTTTCTCTATTTCTGAGCCATTTATAAGTGGGGAATTAAACGGACTATATATTTTAAAATACATTTACAGTATGTCTATATTACTGTAACAGCAGATATCACAAAAGTGGATTTTTAAATTCCAACCTCCATTAGATTCTCACTGTTGTATTAAGCATTTTCTGAGAAGAGCTGCATTTCAAACTGAGTACAAAGTTGGCCTGTGGCTGCGGTTAATATATTTCCTGGAGTTGTCATCTGTGCATTCTCAAAATCTCCCTTAGGTTTTGCCTGCATTTTAATCCGTCATGCTCTAGTTTTCAAGTGGAAACATTCACATTTTAAAAACATATGCATCATAGCTTGGAACGGAGATGCTCAGACCCCATGAAGACTTTTTTCCCCAACCCCAGTAAGCCATGAAACATAAAAAATTTTGTAGCCATCATTTGACTACTAACCCTCAAACATAATTGAGCACTATTTTTCGAATATTCCTACAATATTTAGTTTTTTAACAGCTGTTCTTTTCCTCCCGTGCCTGAGATTCAGAACCTTACTGGTGGGTGTATTTTCTACTGAAATTCTACCGGGCAATCCCTCCCCCTTCTTTCTTCTGTTTCTCTCCCCACTGCCCCACAGAAGTCCACCACCTTCCTCCTCTGCTGTTCATCCCAAACATTCAAGCACTTCGGGGTTCACTGAAACTTGCAAGGTGTTAGAAACAGGCAATTAATTTGTAGGTATCTATCAAAATATATCCGGGTGATTTGAGGGACCCTATCAAGGAGACAGACACGGTCTCTGTCTAGGGCCCCATCGGTTTACCTTCCCCCAGTACCCCCTTGGGTGGGTAGTACAAGGCAACCTGTGACCGCAAGTCTCCTCGCTGTGCTTTCCTTGGCTCCTGCAGGTTACCCTCCACAGAGGGCCTCTAACAGCTCAATCCACCACCGGCTGCATTGATCCCAGCCACCACCCTGGCCCTGCTGCCTCATTAATCCGCTGTGCCACCAGCACAAGGGGCTTTAGCAGGAAAGGGATAGAGGTCTTTACCCAATCGGACACTGGTGTAAACAGAAACATGGGAAATGGGGAAGAAAGCAGAGAAATATAAAATGGTGGGCGATGGCCCGATATGGTAGAACAGGCCATGGCCAGCCCAAAGGCAGGCAGAATTCTAGATTGCAAAATGCGGTTGACGCTGATGAGCAGAGAGTGCATGGCTTACCGAGAAGGGGTCAGGTACTTCCGGACTCATGATACTATAGCTTTCAGAATAAACACTAAAGAGCTTGGGTTACCCGCAGAATAACCTTTTGGCCACAAATATGGTGGTCAAATTGCACTGGCCAAATTCTAAGGTGAAACTCAATCAGTATTTGAGCTGTGTCCCCTACCATTTACATGTATGCACAGTAAACCTTAAACTGACTAGATATTAAACTGAAAGCCTGCCAAGTAAGCATGCTGGCTAATTTTTTTTTAAAAAGATCAAATTAAAATATGGAAGACGAGAGGTTATCTTGATCAGGCAGTTTACTTTCAGAAATAGTGAATATGACATCTATAGGTTAATTTGTCTGGCAAGGCCTGAAATTCCAGGGTCATTGTTAAGAAAGGACGCACAGGAAGCTTATTTCCATTCGCAGTTTATTTTATCAAACACATCTCATTTAAAAAGACATATGGGTTTGTCTAGCAAAATTAAACTTGACTTATAACTAGTGTGAGCTTTAAACTGACCTTTAATTTATAGCAGTCAGAAGATTTCTTCTGGTTTAAAGGTGAAAGGGGAAGGGGGTTGAGGAAATTGGAAGCCTTGTTATTTGGGATCCTCAGTAAGTTCCCGCAAAGAACAAACTTGAAGGCCCCGGGGCCCAGGGCTCTGGCAGCAGGTCGCTGCACACCTGCACAGTGCAGATAAAGGTGCCTTTGCAGGGGTTTGTGAATGAGGCAGAGACTTGTGTCAGTAGTGCTGTTTGCTATGAATCAGAAAGTCATGGTGGCGACCCAAACAACGCTGTAGCTCAGTAGCGCTTGCTTTCCTACACGAATCACTGCTCTGTCATCCGTGGCGTTAGGGGTTTTCCTTTGTCTTTCGATTTTGAAACCAGCTATGTCATGCACGGCCCTTCATCAATTTCCAAATTTCCAGCGTTTCTGAAAATTCTATACCCCAATCAGTGTTATAAGGCACGCTATTAAGCCACATGGGTATACATGTTTATCTTCATTTGTACACCTGTGGATCCAGCCTTGACACATGTCTGCCTGCAGACCTGTGCATCTAAGCCGTGCACCGAATGCGCCAGCATGCAGGGGCGTGGGGAACACTGAGCATGGGGGTATGTTTGCACTCCGTGCAACCGCCTCAGGGCACGATCACTTAGGAAGGGAGTGGGCGCTTGGTGGGTGCAAGGGGCGCCGGATGACTCGCGCTGTTGGAGAACCAGGGTCTCTGGCTGGATGTGGGGGCGTGTCGGACCTATGGCACTTGTTCGGCCTGAGTTGAGTGGGTGTATCTGACCGAGTTTCTCGGACTCAAGCCCCCGCCCCCGTGGCCGCGCCCGCTCCCTAACAGTGCCCTGTTTGTTTCCCTCCCTGCCCGCTCCAGGTCTGGTTCCAGAACCGGCGCGCCAAGTGGAAGAAGCGCAAGAAGACCACCAATGTGTTCCGCGCGCCCGGCACGCTG